TAAAATAATTCATTCTTTGGCTCCATCCTACTTTCATCAATTTATTTGTTTCATGGGGATATTCATGATTACAGCACAAGATCAACTAACGATATATAAATTAAAAAAGTTAATTATTCGAAATCACAGGCATCGTTATTGTATAAAGGTTTCCAAGAATATAATGAACTGCCTATATAGGGGCTTGAAGAATTGTAATTCATTAGCAAGTTTTCATGCTTTCAACTGTTATTTGTTCTATTGTTAATTAAGGCTGTCTAAACTCAAGATTAAATGTATCTTTGTAATGTGTAACAAATCTATTTTTCTTAACTCAGATTATGTTACTGTTAATAATAATTATCTTTAAGTGTACTGTATTTGTATTTCTATATTTTTTTTTTGTATATTAGGTTTATCCTAATTCAATAAATATCTATCTATATATTTTCCTAACAATATAGTCGTGATGTGTAGCGACATATTATTATCCACTATAAAACATAAGTACTTAAACTCTATTACAAACTCATACAGTACGAGCCATACAATTGTAAAACGGATCTGAGGGACATCACTTCAGCGATGCCTATGTCATATAATAACTATAATCGTACATACGTATTTTCGTATTAAATTGACACATACTAATAATAATCTTTATTTGCCTTAGAAAACAAACATTTTTTGGACTCATCAATAGAATTACAAAAAAATACACATTAAACAAAATAATTTAACATTGAAAACAATTCAAAATCATTCAAGGATCGACGGTAAAGTCTTCATCCTCCATATGCAGGTCTGGTGTTCCTCTATCTTTATATATATAAAAATTTCGTGTCAGGATGTATGTTCGCGATAAACTCCGAAACTACTGAACGGATTTTGATAAAATTTTGTAACCATTTATAATATGGTCCAACTTAAAAGATAGAATAGTTTTTATTCAATATTTATTATGGTAAATTAAATGTTTTATATATATATAAGAATTTCGTGTCACGATGTATATTCGCTATAAACTCCGAAACTACTGAACGGATTTTGATCAAACTTCGTAACTATCTGTAATTTGGTCCAACTTAAAAGACATAATAGTTTTTATCTCAATTATTGGGAAAACGGGGGTTGAAGGTTTGCATGGAAGTATCGATTTTTTTATAGGAAGGAACTTGAAAATTGGTATTATAGCAGCTCATTACAAATAAATAATGGTGTGTTTCAGGTTTCATATTTTAAGAGGGGAAATGGGGGGAAAGAAGAAAAATGGAGAAATAGGGGAAAGGTGTGGGGGTCAAAGTTTGTATTGGGGTATCGATTTTTTAAAGGTAGGAACTTGAAAATTGGAATTGTAGGTACTCATCATAAATAAATAGACATGTTTCAGGGTATTTAGATTTTTTCATAGTAAGGGCAGAAACGGGAGGTGAAAGTTTGAATAAGACTTTCGGTTTTTTAAAAGTAGAAACTTGAAAACTGGAATTGTAGTAAGTAAATAATGACGTACTTCAAGGTTTTTGAATTTTCACAAATTAAGGAGGGGGGAAATGGGGGATATTGTAAAAATAAATAAAAAATTAAAAAAAATATAAAAATTAAACTAATAAAAATGAAATTGATAATTTTTTTTCAGGTATCGCATGACAAAGTTTCTCACGAGTAACGAAAACTGTTATTCACTTTTAAATTGAGGTTTGAGAAATTCCAGCGAAGCGGGATCGGGTCAGCTAGTACTTATATAAGTAATTTTTGGATAATATTTTTTTTAAATTTATTTATTGACAAATTCCGAATAAGTAGTAGTAGCATATTAAAAGACCACATTTCTTTGTTCTTTTAAGACTATATTTTATAGATACTAAATATGATGTGTCTTCTATCGAATCATCAACCGTTCTTGTTAGTGTACTGTGATGTATTGCTGATCATGTCCTTTCAACAAATGAAAGTGTATCGTATATTTTGTATGACACGCGTTTGTGCTTGTCATCTCTACTCTGCCGTGTTAATTCAAATGGCCGTAACTACAATTTTCCTAGAAATAAAGGTATGACCACTACGCATGGAAACAATGTATTTTTTATCCATCTCTATATCTTTCATGGACGAATCTTCTATAGAACCCGAGATTTGAAGCTTAGAAATGGGCGTAAGTGATTTTTCTTGACACTTATTAAATCGAAAAGCAGTAACTAAAAATGAGAGTGATAAAAGCCGTAACTGTAAAGATTTTCATAGATGCGGCTTTTTCACCTAACTTTGTTTTAGGCTATTTCCAGCTACTGCCGCGTAGAAAAAAAAATATTTTACTCAGAACTTCCCTTGAAGAAATTGTAAAAACAGGGAACCCCGAAGCACTTGCATTTAACGAACGTGACGAAGAACAGCGAGCGGACGCGAAGTGAGAGTTCGGGTCAAATCAAGAAAACCCTTTTTCACCATTATTGAACGATAATCATTGCCTGTTTTTAAAGTTGTCCAGTTACACAAACCAAAAGGACGCTTACTATTATTTATATTCAAGGAAGAGCTTTTTTGATTAAATACGATTCCTTTCAACACCATTTTGAATTTTTTTAAAACATTCAGGATTTGTTACCTCTGACTTCTAAAATACTGCTAATTTTAGTCAAAATCATCAGACTTTTAAAAATAAATTATTTTTTAAAACTGTTTACCATGTATATAACTGACCGAAAGTATAACTGGTTTTGTATACAAAATTTGAAGTTTTTCTCTAAAGCCGTTTTTGGGCTAACGCGCCAACAGATGGAGGGAAGTAAAAACAATAATAAAAAGTCTTGATCTAATAATCCCAGACAATTTACTGAAATTCTGGTCAAGTATTCCAGTTAACAACAATCAAGAATCAATTGAGGACGATTAATTTAAAAACTTTAAATTTACACTGCTTCTCGAAGGCATTTGACACGGTAAACCATGATTTAATTTTAAGGAAACTTGTGAAATTCGGGTTTCCAAACTACTTAGTGAAATGGTTAGAAAGTTACCTGCAATCCAGGGTTCAATATGTAAAAGTTAAAAGTTTTACTTCGATTCCAATAAATGTAAGTTCAGGTGTCCCCCAGGGATCTCATTTGGGACCATTACTATTTAATATGTTTATTAACGATGTGGCTTCAGGATTTAAATATTGTAAGTTCCTACTATTCGCTGATGACCTGAAATTATTCATGGAAATCTTAAACTTACCTGACTGTTTGAAGTTACAGGATGATTTAAACTATTTTATTAATTGGGCTTTAAATAATGCCACGTCTTTAAATCCACGTAAATGTTTTTCAATCACCTTCACAAGATCAAAAAACCCTATAAATTTTCTTTATAATATCAATACTACTGTTTTGGAGAAAGTTAGTGAAATCAAGGATCTAGGTGTGATCTTCGATAGTTCTTTGACATTTGTCCCACACATGAGATCCATCATTAGTAAAGCTCTGAAAACATTGGGATTTGTGACCAGGAACTCTAAGGAATTATCTGTGCCTACATTCCGAACCCTTTACTTAACACTAGTGTGCAGTATCCTCTTATATGCTTCACCAGTCTGGTCTCCTCATTACCAGACTCATATTTTAAATTTAGAAGCAGTCCAAAATAGGTTTCTAAGAACTTGTCAGTGGAGGTTACATATGCCTTATCTTTCTAAGAGGGAGCTTAATAACCATTTAAACTTATTGTCAGTTGAGAAAACGTTAATTAGTAATGATCTTTTATTTCTTTATAACCTCCTGGAAGGGAATATAGCTTGTCCGGATATGTTGGAGCTAATAAACTTTAGATTAAACAACATAAATATTAGAGAGAAACCATTATTTTCAATTAGCTTCCATCATACGAACTACGGACTCAACAGTCCTTTAACCAGATTTCAAAGGCAAGGAAATGAAATTAACGGACACACTGATCTTTTGGGAGTTAGTCAGTTTAGGTTTAAAAATCAGCTGAGGGAGTACTTATCTAGTTAGCTTTAGCTCTAAGTTTTTTTGTAATATTTAAGTTTTTTTTCTTTTTTGTGTGATACTTTAGGTTAGGTTTAAAATATTTACTGATAATAATTATTTTGTAAAAGGAGATTTTCCGTAAATAAATAAAATAAAAAAAAATCATTTAAATTACTTATGTTTTTTTCATGTAGAATTACTACAAAAATTATAAATTTTTAAGTTATGGAGTGCCATTTCATATGTTTTCTAGTTCAAATAAATATTATACAAATCACATTTTTTTTAGTTTTATTTATAAATATAAGTTTATTTTGTTTCGAAAGATGTCAACAAAAAAATTATTTCAATAAATCGTGTAGTTACGCCTCCTTGAATATAGAGGAAGCATAAATAATGTTAGATGAAAAAGACGTATCTGTCAAAAGTACGATTTTTTGTACATTGTGTTGTACTACATTTTGTAACATAAAAACAAATACCATCCATTAAATAAATTCATCCCATTTTTGAAAAACCAGGATGGCCCAGAAAAAAACAGAAAAATTATTTTTTCTCATGTTCCAAGTATTAAACAGATATGGCCATTTAAATTAACACGGCAGTACTATACTCTGACTAGACTAGTAAAAAAATTCATTAAGTTAAAATAAAAACTATGTACATTTTGTCAAAGTTGAATTCAGTTTTTATTTAAAAGCAATATATATGTTTTGGAAAACTAAATGTTTCCATCTTCTGGTGCAGTTATAATAATAAAAAAAAAACATCGATGGACATAACAGAGTATTCAAATACACCTTAGTACAGGTCTGTAAATTTTTAAACTGTTATGCAAGTTGATGTTTTTTTTATAAAACCATTAATTTGACTCCACCAGTAGATGGAAACATATGTTGTGCTTTTAAATAAAAACTAAGTGACCGATATTACCAAAGAACTTTCATTTATTCCTAAAAAATTCTACAATGGTCAGAAAATTATCCTCTTTCTAAAAATATTAATGTATGACAACTGTGTAGAAAGGGTTGCATTATGGATATATATCCTTACTTGATTACAGTTTTGATGAGGATTCCATTTTCCATTCGTAAACTTTGGATTATTTTTTCCTTCCAAAGCTATATTACTAACAGCTCTTCCTTCAGATTCCGATATATCCCATAAAACAAGGTGAGTATCAGTGAGAGAGGCAGCTGTAGATGTTTCATTAGGGTGGAATTCAGTTGTTTTAATATCAGTTCCTAAAGTAGAGAAATCAAATTTAGTTACAATTTCCAGATTTTCTATGGTGTCATGGTTTTCAGATTCAGGAAGTTTTAAAATTGCACTTTTCATCATACAACCATTTTCCCCAGTAAGAGCATTATAACAAGTAGCTATTTTCAAAGGGTCTGTTGGACTTGATGTTATTTTCCAAATTTCTCCCTCCGAATGATGGAATACCTACAAATTTGTAAATTAAAACGCAAACACAAAAAATATATTTTTACTCACAGATGTTTTTAATGTAGATATCTCTTCATTGAATTCAATTAAATGAATTTGATTATTTGTTTGTTTTAATGACTGGGTACCTATTAGGAACCCTATTTTTTCTGTTTCCGCCAACTGGGGTGTTAAAGCTCTGGCCTAAAAAAGTATATTCTAAAAATGAAGCACATTACCATTTATTTTTGTACCTGAAACTCTAAACCATAGATAACACAGTTTTCATTATCCATATCGAATATCCAAAACAAAAATATTCGAATATTTGAGATATATGGACATTTGAGACAGACATACAGTGTTGCCACACCAATTAATTTTTTCGTAATAGAATCAGTGTGTTCCTAGGGATTTTGGGATTGTACAACTTTTAATGTCAAAATCTGGTCAAAATTGTACACTTTTACGTTCGATTGTACAACCTCTAATTAGTTTACTACTTCCCAATGCTTAAAATTCTTCTATTATCCAGTTTAAAAAATGTTTTCGATGTAAAACGGTGTACTGATTGGTCGTGAATGGCGCCAAATTCAAACATTGTTTTATTAATTTTAATGCATACGATTTACGATATATCAGATTTTACATAAATATTTAGCAACTTCAAATTGTACAACACATTTCTACCTTTTTTCAAAAGTGCGTACAACCACATAACTGATTGTACAACTTTTTGTACAATTGTACAACCAGGAACAACACTGAATAGAATTTTGAACCAAAAGGTAATAAAATCGTAATAGATGATATATAAGTAACATAGATAAATGTACCAGAACTATTATTAAATACATTTAACAATAAAACTGCAATATTATTTAGTTGAAACAAAATTATTTCTGCTGCTGCAAAAGAATGGGGTAATGATAATAAACCACAAATTATTTTTGTTTAAATTTTAAACATTTGGTTCATCCAGTGAATTTTTTTATTTTAAAGATGTTAGCCCAAAATTTACCAAAGAGTAAATTTTTGTAATTTAATATTTCTTCAAAGTTTTGAAGGGGTCTACGTTATTAAAAACAATAGGTACATATATAAATTATACTAAAATGCTGGAGGCTGGAGGTAATCCCCTCTACTAAACACTACTAAACTAAAAACTGATCCATAACAAAAAATAATAATACAATATAATAAAGTGACGCCTATCTTGGATTTGTTGAAACAAGAAAACACAAAAATAACAAATGCACAGATTTCTAAATTTTTTTAAGTATGGGCTTTGAAGTTTAGATGAAGCCACTCGTAAAATTTCAATATTTTAAAAAGTAATAGATTTTTCCTCTTTTCTTAAAAGTCGTAATAACGTACACTGGTGTAACTTTTTAGTAATAGATTTGTTACAATTGTAATAGCAACGGCAACACTGCAGACATATCACTTATGACATATGAAACATATCATTAGCACAGTTTATAGCTAAAGAATCAGTTTGCTCACTCTGCGTGTCGGCACTTTTGATCTCAATGTTCCAGTTTATACATTGCGCGACTCGGATTTGTATCACTGGCGCAAACAGAATCAAATCAAATGCTGCGTTTGAGAATCCACATCGGATGCATTTTTTACATCTCGAGCGTTTTTTTTATCCACATCGGACACATCTGTCCCATTACATTTACGTATACTGAATCTGGTGATCAAAGATTTTTTACATCCGATGTGGATTCTCAAACGCAGCAATAATAGCCCAAGAGCCCACTGCAAATTTTTACCGCCATCTGATATTGAAATAAAATATACCCCAAAAGCTTGTAAAAATATTGTACTTTACCAAATAGCAACTGTGCCAATCCCAATCTTGAGCAAAGTGGTTAAAAAAAAATTATAAAGAAAATCACATAAGGCATGACAGCGCTAATTTTGTTTGCCCTTAAAGTTTTCCAGATAATAACATATTCAAATATATCTTGATATATATCGTTAACGGGAAACATTTTCTTTCTCTTAGGGTCGATTCCACCGTTGTGTTAAACGGATATTAAAATGACATTGTTAATGTAAAAATGTCATTTTAAACTTCGTTTAACACAACGGTGGAATCAGTCCTTAACATCACACAAAAACATCTACACACGATAAGTAGGTAAAAATCATTAAAAATATGAATCAATTTTTGAAGATTTAAAAATTTATTTGTATGCCTATTGTTGTGATTCATTTTTACAGGTTGCCATAGAAATGACAAAAAAACTACTAGGATTATTTGGCAATCAAACATGGCAATCTCCCAAAGTGAATAGCAAAAGCGACAATCTCCATTTTTCCTTATATATTATTATTAGAACTGTCTAATAAGAGTTTATAATTATTATTGACTATTTCTGCAAATGATTTATACAATGCCATCCTTTTTCTTTTCACACATACACATGTTTTAAAAAGTAGGTAGAAATAATAATTCAGATTTAAAAGCTAGGTTTACAATGAATTAGGATTGTAATTTTCGGGGAAAACACAATTATCGCTGTCATGTCTTATGTGATTTTTTGAATATAAAATAATTTTTTTTAATCACTTTGCTCAAGATAGATTGGCACAGGTGAAATTTGGTAAAGTACAATGTTGTTACATGTCTTTCTCAAGCCTTGGTTTCTTTGAACACTTCGTCGCGGTGAGCGGACAGTCCGTCAACCGTCGCGTTTTGACGATTTTATCTAACCAGAGTATTTAAATGGGAATGGTTTTCTTGAATCCGCTTAGCGGAGCAGGACGGCGTCATGCCGCTGATTTGTCGCGAAGAGTCGGTTGATATCTGTTGAGTTTGATATCAGCGGAATCGTCGGCGTGTGCGGAGACTATATTGTTATTAATTTTAAAACAATGAGTGACAAATTCACACATACAGATGACATCATGACTTTATTTTTAGGTTTCTTGGAAATTATGTCCTTTATAAAACTCAACACGAATTCAAAAAGATCTGTAGAAAGTCTAAAATACTCCCTAAATTTGATTTCATTTCCAAAAAGCCTCCGCTGCACAGTTATATTAAAGGCACCTTCTGTATCGCGACACAAAAACAACTCATCCACTGGCTTATTGAAAACTTTGACGGTTGCAATTGCCAGTTCCTCTTGTTCTTCCTCTTCCAACAATAATAACAACGCAAACAATTTATTTGCATCCATTTTAGTACCTTTCTTTTACATTCATAATACATAAACAGCACGTACAGACATGAGAAAGTATCATTTTCTATATTTTTTAACAAACCACCTCGGGCGAAAATTGCTATCCTCAGCGGTCGACGGACTGTCCGCTCACCGCGACGGAGTGTTCAAAGAAACCAAGGCCACAGATGGCGGCCGTAATTTGCAGTGGGCTTCTTACTATAACCAATTAGGCATTCCAACGACCTGTCAAACAATAGGTGCCAGTGGGAAATTCTTGTATATTTAAGGGGGGTAGCGACATAGTCTTGCAACTTGGACGCTATTTTTATTCGAAGTAGTACTCGCCAAGCCTGCCAATTTATGAAGAAATGTATAGCTGTGTTTTTTAAATATTATTTTTATTGTGTTTGACATAAAATATTTAAATGTAAATCCATTATTCATGATTTTACGTAAAGTAGATAGAATACACCATATGTCGCCACCCTTAGATATACCAAACCTGCCCACTGGTAATTCATTTGTTTGGAATGCCTAATTAGAATTAGACATTTCAACGACCTGTCAAACAATAGCTGCCAGTGAGAAGGTCTGGTATATCTAAGGGGGTAGCGACATAATCTTGAATCTTGAACGCTTTTCATTTTTTGATTTTTTGATTTTTTGATCTAGAAAATATCGTTATGAAAAGTATCGCCCATCTTTAGTTATCTAGCGGAATGTGCCAGAATTACAAAAGCGTGAATTATCATAATTCACTCTAGTGATATATGGGTACCATATGTTTTTAGTTAGGAGGTAGAATATTGATTTATTATTAAGTGGTCGTGGACAAAATATTTAAATGTAATCCTTTATTCATGATTTTACGTATTGTAAATAGAATACATCGTATGTCGCAACCCTTGGATATATCAAATCTTCCCACTGGCAGTTCATTTGTTTGAAAAGCCTAATACAATTGCCGCGTTTGAGAATCCACATCGGATGCATCTGAGATGTAAAAAATCTTTGATCACGTGATGCAGTATACGTAAATGTAATGGGACAGATGTGTCCGATGTGGATAAAAAAACGCTCGAGATGTAAAAAATGCATCCGATGTGGATTCTCAAACGCAGCATATGTACACTGAATCACGTGATCAAAGATTTACTACATCTCAGATGCATCCGATGTGGATTCTCAAACGCAGCAAATATATGATAACCGCCTATATTCAAACAGCAGTCTTCTGCGCATCCTGAATTTGTATCCCTGGAGTGGATGTTATTTTGGAACATCCAATTGGCCCGAGTGAGCTAACCGATTCGTTATAGAGAAAGTAAAAGTTGAAAAGTCTTTTGGTAGGTAGAGGGGGTAAACGTCAAATCACGTCGGGCGGCTCCGAGAATTTCGCAGTAATGTTTACCTGCCAGTGTCGTTTCATAGAATAAGTAATTTTAAATTGTTATCGGCGGAACCGGACAATCGCATATATTTATGGATTATAAATAATTATTAAACATGTATTATAATATTCAAATCATAATTTTACAAAATTTCAACAGCTATTCACAATTTATTAAACTGTTTACTCGAAATTGTTATTAACATCTATAAAATAATTTTGTACGCCAATGTATCGCGTCCACTTCGGTAAGATCCGCTGCCAACCTGTCAATTTATGTGTCTAAAGTGGGAGAACTGACAAAAGCATTTCCAACTTTTACTTCTGTTCTAGCTATAAACTGTGTCATTAGGCCAATTTTAGCGATTATTTTAATTTTCATCGGTTAGTGTAATTTTCTTTTTGGTCATTGGCAAGACTGGTATTTGTATTTGAAATTCTTCATTTCCGTTTCCGGCGTCTTTCTTCACAGGCAATCAATCGGCAATTCGGCAATCCGACATTTTGTTTGGTTGTGGTGGCTTTCATCTGTAATCTGTGGCTTTTATACAAAGTGCTAAAAAATGGCTGAAAAGTTCGATTCTAATGGTGATTTATATGGTGAAAATTTGAAAAGAAAGGCCGAGAATGAGGATAAAAATGCCGAGTCAGCCGGCGAGAACGAAGAAAATGGTATGACCAGTAAGGCAGTTGAATATGTGAAAGAGTTGTTAGCCGAAAAGATATTGATCGACCAGACTAAATTGCCAAATGCTACTAGGCTGTTGGAGCAAGGTAAAATTAATTAATTACTACATTTATGAAAAACAAATTAAAAAAAATTGCTTTATTACTAAACTTACTCAAAAGCTCCCGTGTGGTTCGTTTTATATTGAATAGTACGTGAATATGACCATTTGTATTCTTCGCATTTTGAGAATTATTGTAATTATAAATTAATTATTTATTTCATCTCGTTTATTGGTCTTGTGTCAAAACTAGGCGAGGTTTGTTTAGAAAACCTAGGTCACGTCAACAAAGACAAGAACCCTGACCTGAAGAACCCATACAAAAAAACCACCTATTAAAAAGCCACACCTAGTGAAGCTGTTCTTAATATTGTTCCTTTTACCATAAAAAAATGTTATTAATATACTGATATCTGAAAATTCAAAATATATTTTTGATAAAAGGTATTTACCTATAACAATATACCATAAAAATTTGAAAGTTTCTTTTGGTAATCCTTCAGTTTACGTTTGCGCGTGTTGCACACGCGCCGGCACACTTCCATTAGTAAAATGTCAAAATATTCTAAAAAATATTTTTATTGATTTTCAAAAATTTTACTTGCTTTAGAAATAATTATACTTGGTTATTTGAGTGAACACATTGCTGGCGCACACGCAATTTTCAGCAACAACCTTCAGGTTTACCTTGCTTTTTTTGCACAAATGAGAAATTTTAATTTTTTCACTTTTTTTAATAGATCAGAGTACACTAGTTTATGCCCATAAATAATAAAATATTAGTTAAATACTTTCTATCTGACTAATTAGTTACAAATACCTATTTGTAGTTCCTAAAATGTATACCTTATTGCTGCTTAATATCAGAAATATAGTTTATTTAATAAGAAATCTAGACAATACGAGCCCAGAATCATATCAATTGGCCCATTTAATATTATATTTTTTATTTTAGACAACATTGGTAAATACAAAAGAAAAATCTATTAAATCCAACTATTTTTATTATAATTTGAGACATGTTTATCAACATTTTTTATTAAAATTATTATTAGAAAATTAGAGATATGCATAGAATACTAAATTAAATAAGATAACAATGAATCATTTCGTTTGGCCCAATAATAATCGAAGGACATCAGTGATTTTACCACTGTGTAACATCTCCCGTTTGCTTCAGAACTGCTTCATTTCGCTTTGGCATGGTATCTACTAACTTTTTACTATCTGCAGCAGTGAATGAGTTCCAAATTTGAGTTAGTCTCTCTTTTGATTCAGGAACTGTTCTAGCAGAAGAAACTCTTATTTTTTTTTTTCATATTATGCTAGTGTTTTAATTGGCAACAGATCAGGACTACTGGATATTCAATCTACTACTGGAATAATATTTTGCATACATTCCTTTACAATTTTAGCAGTATGGCACGCAGATCCATCCTGTTGGAATATGTACTCATTATTTCTTGTTTTTAAGCTGCCAATGGATGACTGTCTTGAGGATGTCAATGTATCTAGTAGCATTAATTGATTCCATCTATGATGTAGAACTTGTCAACCCCTTAAGCCAACATGCATCCCCAAATCACTACAGAAGCAGGAAACTTGACTTTTCAATGCAAATAGTTTGGATGATGAGGTTCATTTTTTGTCCTCAATACCCTACTTCGGTAATCTCTTAACACATACCTCAAATTGTGATTTGTCACTTCAAATAACACTGTCCCATCACATCTGTGACCACTTTTTATGATTTTTGGCCCATTCCAATCTATTCTTTTTCTGTCTTGCAGTTAACAGCTGTTTTTCTTTAGCCTGCGAAAAAAGAATTCTTCACTATTATGTCTCGATAACATACATTTTTGAAAATAACTTACTTTGTAGAAATTATAGCCCAATTGTTTGTTAGCTCTAAGATAGGTCGACCTTGAAAAATTATTTCCCCTTGCTCTATTCCATGCTACACTTAATTCACCATAATTGTCTCTGCGATTTTGTTTCAAAATATGAGGTAATGCTCTCATATTGATTGGGGTTATTTGGTTTTTCTTGAACTGTCCCTGTCGTTTTATATAATTTGACAATTTTTCGTACAATATAGCGTAATAATTGCAGTTGTTTAGCAATTTTAGCACCACAATTACCAATAACTTGACGTAAATCGTTAGACACAGCTTTACCCCTCACCATTTGTTAACATTAAATACTTACAACTAACTGCTGAAGTGTCACTGTCAGCAATACAATTGACATGTTTTGTTTTAACTCATAGCTAATATGATTATAAAAAAGCTATTTTTAATACATGGGCCAAACGAAATGATTCATTGGTATTTTATTTAATTAAGAATTCTGTGCATCTCTCTAATTTTCTAATAATAATTTTAATAAAAAACGTTAATAAACATGTCTCAAATTATAATAAAAATAGTTGGATTCAATAGATTTTTCTTTTGTAGCAATGTTGTCTAAAATAAAATTATAAATATAATATTGAATGGGCCAAATGATATGATTCTGGGCTCCTATGTTCTAATAATTTCAAACTTAAAAAACACATATATCTTAAGTATCTCTATTGTAGGTATTGCTAATTTTTTTTTTGTTATTTTTTTTATTAAAATCCAAGTTATTATTTTAATACTTATGTTTCAGCACTTACAGGTGCTTGCACTAAATTATTATTTGTATTTAAGATTAACTCATTATAATATTATTGTAAAATTGTATTGTGTGAATAAATAAATAAAAAATAAACTAGCCAATAAGAATATCATTCTCCTTATATAATTTTAAGATCTAATAATATCTTAATAATGCATGCAATTTTAATAAAACCACCCATAAGTGACTATTTAAATAAAATTCATTACTACATTGTTCAGTCAGAAAGTCAATCAATATCAAATATTCAAAGAATCATACAAAATAAAATGGTCACATACATACCTTGCAACTTGCACTCTCTAATAATCTTGACTCAACCCAGATAAACATTATTAACTAGTCATCATTTTCAGTTTGTGTATTAAAGAAGTAAGTGTTTATCTTAAAGAAATTGATACATAAAATAACATCCTTTGTTTATTTTTTTGTAATAGGTACATTCACACCAAATATGCTTTGATCCCCATTGGATCTGTAGGTGTACAGGGTAAAAACAGGTTGTCACATTTTGTATTTTAGAACAATAATTTCAATTTTTAAGTTTGGAGGACAGAGAACAATAACTCTTAATTATTATTATTATACAATTAAGTAGTGATTCTGATGGTGATTATAAAATTGAAATAATAAAGTAGATACATTTTTCAGATTAACTAATGTTAGCAAAAAGTTATATTTTCAAATAATTATAGAAGTTCACTTACCAGCAATATTTAAAAAAAAGTATCTAAAAAACATTGGCTTTTAACTTAAAAATTAAAATTGTTTCAATTTTTAAGTTAAAAACCAATGTCTTAGATTTTTTTTTAATATACAGGGTGTCCCGAAATTAGACGGTCATATTTTAACATCGTAATCTACATCCTAAAATAGGAGTAAAAGTTCATATAAACATAGGTCTGAAAACGTTTCTTTTCTGATATACAGGGTGTTAAAAGTGAAGTCCTGATGACACACTTTTGGTAAATATATTCTAAACGTTTGAATATAATTAACAAGGAGAGGGCACGGTCTGGGAAATTCACTTCGGGACAAGACTCCGTGTAATTGTAGTTCTCCATTAGGGTATCCAACCCTCAAAGTAATAGCGCCGAATGGCCAGTCACTTTAGAGAAATAAACCTTTAAAATTTCAAATGCCGCTTATATACTGGTAAGTTTTCAATCAGGTAAGCGGCTTAATAGCGTGATTGGTAAGGCGTCTGCTTCACGCGCGGACGGTCTAGGTTCGAGCCTCGCTCTTGATCAACAATATTTTTTTTTTAATTAATTATTTTCAAAATCAAATATATTTAATCAGAATTAAATAAATCAGAATTAAATATTCAATCATCTTTTATTTATATTAACTACTCTACTTTTTTAATTATAAGTAACTAATTATTAGGATATTTATAAAGAGTAACTACACTTGTTTTTTCATTAAATTTTTTTTATCAATTTTCGAATTATTTTTCATGCATAAATGGTCGTGAAATATTATTCAGGTATCCACCAAACCGGTTTCATTATTTATAAAATTATTTCCTAATAATTAGTTACTTAATAATTAAAAAAGTAGAGTTGTTAAGAGGAAAATTTACATTACAAACTAAAAGACCTGCGGGGCAACGGTAGTTTAGTAGGTATAAAAATTACAACTTAAGGGTGGAGCCTAAATACTACAAAATTACTTCCGAGACTTAACAAAATCCGCATTCATTCATAATTTTAACAATGGGCCATGTTCACATGTGAGATATGCTGTTTTATAAATTATATTGTAATAGTTAGTCGCTATACAAGTTATTCTAAATAGTCAGTTCGTTAAAAAAGCCAAAAGTTTTTAAATTAAGCCCAATTGAAATTTAAAATTTGAAATTATACGTCATCGGGAATAGACCAATCATCTTGTGTCGAAGTTTTTTTTGTTATACAAAACCAAGCCAACGAACAAACCGACACACAGAATGTCGAAGTGAACGCACATCTAAGTGACATTAAAATTGACAGCACCTAACCTTAGTTTTTTGTTTTGGTCAGGGCTGGTATCCAGCCCTGGTTTTGGTTTAATTTTATTATTAATATGAATCAGCTGGATTTATAAAAGTTGAATCAAGTGTTTTACCCATTGTAAACGAAAATATGATTACCGAGATGATTACTGCATTTTTTAACAATACTCAGTTTACAAAAGTTAGAAAGGTAAGACTTTGTTTTAATAGTAGGTAGTTACAGTTTATATGGAGCAAGTAAAACGTATTTATCTCAGGTTTTATTTTTAGATCTGCCAAGCAAGAATATGGGGATAATTTCTTTTTCCATAAGAGACAAGGAGACAAATTACACCTAAACATAAAGTACGGCAAAAACCTTCTGATGTTGTTGTAATTAACAAAAATGA